TTTCGGGACGCCATTCCTACTAATCCTCCCATCTCTGTATGCTTGAAACGCCTCTAGCCATCTCGCCGTGCAGAGACACCACTTGCAACCTCCTGACAGACCTGCTACCCGCAGATCATTCCCTTGCGAAGCACTGAAGTCCAGGAACTCTTCCGTCACCACACCAGCCACGGCGTGGTTACCAAAGTCTGCAGCCCCTGTTCTACAATATCCATCTCGATAGAAACCAGTGACCGGACGATTCGAGAAGAAGGCCAAGGGTTGCCTGAAAACTGCGCTGGATTAGTAGGGTTGATGTTGGTACAACGAGCCGAGATTACACAGTAAGAGCACGGCTCAATTCAATGTCACAACTCACCATTCAAGTGAGAAGCCATATTTTCCTCCCTGACTGCGGGCGGCGGCGGCGGCGGATGCGACTTTCCTGAAGCTCCAAACAGGGGAATTTGGAGAACTCGCGCTCTTAGGCTGGGCCAGAGGCTGAAGTTGCGGACTAAGCGCGTTGTCGGATGGTTCGACCGCATCAATTCATTTACCGCTTTTCGACGAATCGTCTTCCACTATTGCTAGACAAGGTGTCAATAGCCGACCCTCAGCATAACAAAGCAACTTGTGTGTATGAAACGTGAAGTCTGGTGGAAGATCAAAGAATGGTGACGTCAAAATTGCTCGAAGTGCAAGCAAGCATTTGCCAAGGCAGTCGAACGAGCGGAGGCAGCCTCGAAATCTCCAAATTGGGGTTCTCGAGATTGGTCTTTCTCGACATGCATCATACTCATTAAAGTGTGGCCCCAATTCCCCTTTCAACGCAATCCCAAACTTCGCTTTCAAGCAAGCGTCGGTGACTCGGGAACAGCTATCGGCAATTCGTTTCACCCATATCGAGTTATATATGGTTAAGTGCATCTGGCTGGATTCATGTACTGGATTCGGAGCTTTGCCGTGTCAGCCTTGAGGGTTCTCGTTTAGGGTGGAGATCGAGACACCGCTATTGGTCTTCTCACAATAGCAGTGGGCGATCACCTTACCCCTTCCCCATGTCCTTCAACCCGAGAAATTTCCTGCTGATGCGGAGAGTTCTTTCGTGACCGACTTATGTGGAGGTGAGGAAATGCCCCATATCCTCGTGCTGGTGCTCGACGCCAATCGACGAATATGTAGACATGCGCATGGCTTTCTCCTGTGATGTTCATACTTATAATACGCAGGCTGCTGCTCAAAAGTTCCAGCGCTTGCCAGCCTCGAATCAATTGATAGATTAGTTGAGATCAGAGAGATTCTACTGTCCTGGGCCTTTGGTTGTTTTATCAAGCCTGGCATCAATTTTACAACATATCATTTTGCCCTGTTTGTTTGCTTGTTCATCATCAAGAACAGCGACAGACAATCCAAATCCCCTACAAGTCCCAAATATGCCCGAGTTGAATGTTGGAATCTGTGGCGCCGGCATCGGCGGACTGGCGGCGGCCATTGCCATCAGTAAAGCTGGTGCAAAGGTGACGGTCCTGGAAGCTGCTCCTGAACTCGGCGAGATTGGTGCTGGTATCCAAATGACGCCCAATGTGGCCCGACTGCTCATGAAATGGGGCGTGGACAAAGTGATTGGCGATGATCTCGTCGAGTTCGAGGAGCTGAACATGAGAAGAAAAGATGGCACCTTGATTGGGTACACGAAAACCATCCCTAACGTCCGCAAGTATGCTTGTCGATCTCACCCGAACCACAAGCATGTTACACACTAACATCTCTGAGCTATTTGGGTGGTGTGCCTTGGTGGTTAGGTGAGCGGCGTCCTCCTGAAATTTGGTGGTTCAGCCTGACACGGAGATAGTTCATCGAATGCATCTTCACGCCGGTTTAGCAGAAGTGGCACGTCGCGAAGGTGCAGACCTCGTGATCGATGCTCGGGTGGAGGAAATCGACTGGACCTCGTCCCCGTCCAACAAAGTCACAGTCACCACGGCTAGGGGTCAATCATGGACATTCGACCTACTCATTGGCGCAGATGGAGTACGTTCCACGGTCCGCAAAGCCATCATGCCTCACGTCAAACCCGCGCCTCCAACGGGCAACTGCGCATATCGAGCCATCGTCCCCTATGATGAGATCCGACGAGACCCTGTCGCCAAAGAACTCATCGAGAAACTCACCATGGAAGTCTGGATGGCTGACAAGTCGTACATCATTTCGTATCCCATTTCCAATGGCAAACAGTTCAATATGGTTCTGAGTCACCACGTGGACCATCTAGTTGACGATGTCCAGGACATCGACATGGAGAAGGACTTTCGACAGACGTACAAGGACTACGATCCGAGAATCAAGAGGATTGTCGACATGGTTACTTCTGCCAGGAGGTGGCCGTTGCTGGTCACGGGACCGTTGGAGAGCTGGTCAAGCAAGGAAAAGAACATTGTGCTGATGGGGTATGGATACTGACGAACTTCTCCTGGTATCCGTTGTACTAATCCTGGTGTTCATTTCAGTGATGCGGCACACTCGATGACTAACCACATGGCGCAAGGAGCAGCGACTTCAATGGAAGACGGCGCCTTCATAGCTCGAACATTGGCAAAAGTCGTGGAGGATAAAATTACTATTGCCCAAGCCATCGAGATCTACGAGAAGACGCGGATGCCAAAGGCGTACTACAAGCAACAGGTGTCATTTATCAACGGCGCCATCTGGCAGGTTCCAGATGGGCCCATTCAAGAGGTAAGCAGCTCTTTTGCCCCCTTCGAGTGGCTCACCAGCGAAAGAGGTGTATGGATCTAATAGCTGAACCGAGGAAATATGCAGGCACGAGACAGAGCCATGGCGCCCGAAGTGAAGGGCGAGCAATTCATGCGCTCGCCAAATCTGTATGGAGACCCAGTGACAACCCTGAGGTTAGTTCGCCTCGCTCTAACTCAACCGACCTACACATGCAGCTTACCAAAGTATGGACATGGCTGACATGAGACCAGTGTGTACGGGTACGACGCCGAAGAAGACGCGGATATCGCCATCAGGGCATATCTCCAGAAATGCGAGCCATACGATGTAAACACCGGAGTGACTGACCGTGAGCTGGAGCGCTTCGTCGGATGGTGGTGGCCAAAGGACAAGATCCCGCTCAAGGCTTCAAAACTGTGAACGACATGGCGACTCCAGGGGTGAGGTATATCTATCGGCATAAGGCAGGCGAGGTTTAGTATAGACAAGGTAGGGTGTGGAATGGGATGTTTAGAACAAAGAGGTATCATTGCTTTGTGTCTTGGGTGTCCATGTGGACTATGGACGCGGCTGAGAATGTTGTAACAAAGAAGAGGACGAACTATCCAAGAAGGACAGAGGAGAATGTCTTCACCTGAATTTCACCTTTGTCTCAGACACATGATCGACCTGCGGCGCATGTGCAAGGGCTGTCTGCTGTCGTTTATCAGTTTATCAGCCTGACTTTTTGTGCCGCTCCTCACCTCTCTCTTTTGCGATTGTTCCCGCGGGCACGCTGTTCTCATTCATAGGGCACCCATTCATTCACGGTCAACGTCACCTGTGATCCGATAACGATAACGATAGCGATAGCGAGCACGCCCTCTCCATGGTCATGATTCCGAACACCGAGCTTGGCGATGGTGGCAGTGATGGCGGTGGTGCCGTCCACCAGTGGAGTTTGGAGGACTCGTCCCCTTCGAGTGAAGTTCAGCACTCATACTCCCTCCTTCACAGTGACGACTACGTTGCCCTTTTCACCAACATAGCATCACATGAATTCAAGACAGCGGTGGATGAGTTTTTGGCGCCGCTTGACGACGACAAAGAATGTCACGGCGGAGTAGACATCGACCGTGGAATTGATGAATTCAAACCTCCCACAGTCAACAAAGAAGTCCAAAATGAAGAACCTAGCGACGCAGACCTACTACCATTTGTTGCGATTGAGCAATACATCCCCGGCGTCAACGACCTGATGAGCGGTGCGGTCTCACTCTTAGACAAAACAAGTACCGACATGACCCAAGACGACAACATCATGTGCATGCACGGCCTGGAGCGCCGGCTCATGCCCTTCAAGGTCCTCCCACAGAGAGATCTCTTCGGCCTGGGCCTACCGTTCGCCGACGAGTCGTCGCTATGCGAGCTGCCGAGCGGGTTTCTGACCACGGTCCGCGGCCTCGAGCGCGCAGTGGGGGAATTCTACGCCAGCAACCCGGACGTCTTCGCCGACGACATCGAATCCGACGTGGCGCTTCTAGGCATGATCGCTAAGAGAGGCGGGCTCGCACGCACCAAGTTCCAGCAGGTCGTGTATCCAGAGGAGATTGTGCCGTTGGACGACCCGGACCTTGTGCTGAAGGAAAACTTCGAGTCAAGTGGAGGAGAGCAGGACGACCAGGACAAGGAATACTGGGCAGAATTGCAAGAACAAGGGCGGATTTGGGACGAGCTCTACATTCCTTGAGAAAGTTGTGATCCGCTCTCACGAGGGATTGAAAATTTGGTTCTCTTGGTCTACCTTGTACGGGGAGAGAAGGGAAAGGTCCGTGCCAGTTGAGTGTCGTTGGGCATCATGATCTGAATTCTCGTACCGGAATACTGGCGGGACGATTGGATATTCATTCGGAGTTGAGGATGGCTAGCTGAATGCTCAGGATCAAAGGAAAGGGAACGAACAAACAACGGTCGGCGACGATGATGATGAGGACGCAGCCAGTAGAGAATTCCATGATTCCTCCAATAGAATATAGCCTTGGCAGACAACCCGCAGCCTAACTGTTTCGGGGCAACTGCTCCAAAATTTCCATGGGCGAAAAAAGAATTGGCTGCTGTTGCGTCTCTCCGAAAAATCGCAGTTTTGCCCAAACTCAAGCAGCAGACTGCGCTTTGTACAAATTAGTTTTTCTTCTATCGCTATTCAACTCTTAGCGCATAAAAAAGACTCGAACAGCGTCGACCCTACGCTTCGATACCATACCCCGGAAAAGCAACTTGGACTTCTAAAAAAAAACACTAGAGATATGGCGTTTGGCGGCGCGCCGCGAGGTGGTCGTGGTGGTGGACGAGGTGGTCCTCCTAGAGGAGGCGCAAGAGGCGGACGAGGAGCCGGGAGAGGTGAGAGAGACCTCAAACCGTCTGCTGCTTGATCTGCAGGCTTCCAGTCTTGCAGACGACTGCGTGAATCGGTGAACTGACAAATATCCTTTCAAATGAACAGGTGGTGGTGGTGGTTTCGGTGGACGAGGTGGCAGAGGCGGTGGCCGAGGCGGTCCAGCCAGAGGTGGAAGAGGTGGTGGGAGAGGCGGCGCAAAGCCCGGCATCAAGGGTGGAGCGAAAGTCATCATTGTATGTCCTCTACCGATCCGGCAAGATTCTTCTCCTGCCCGATCGAACAAGAGACGGAAATGTGAGAGGTTAGCTGACAAGAGCTTTCATTTGCACAACAGGAGCCCCACCGACATCCTGGCGTCTTCGTCGCACGCGGCGGCAAAGAAGACCTGCTCGTAACGAAGAACCTTACCCCCGGCGAAAGCGTCTATGGCGAAAAGCGCATCAGCGTTGACTCACCCAGCGCGAATCCCGCGGACCCAGATGCACCGGTCACCAAAACAGAATACAGAGTCTGGAACCCGTTCCGCTCGAAGTTGGCTGCCGGTATCTTGGGAGGATTGGACGACATTTACATTAGGCCGGGCGCTTCAGTGCTGTACCTGGGTGCTGCGTCAGGCACTTCGGTTTCGCACGTCGCAGATATTGTCGGACCTACTGGCCGTGTATACGCAGTCGAATTCTCCCACAGATCTGGAAGAGATCTCATCACGATGGCAACACACCGCACGAATGTGATTCCCATCATCGAAGATGCCCGCCACCCTCTCCGCTATCGCATGCTCGTGGGTATGGTGGACGTCATTTTCGCGGACGTGGCGCAGCCTGATCAAGCACGTATCGTCGGCCTCAACGCCCATTTGTTCTTGAAGGTCGGTGGAGGCGTGGTGGTCAGTATCAAGGCAAACTGCATCGACTCCACGGCCAAACCGGAGGTTGTGTTTGCAAACGAGGTCAAGAAGATGCGGGAGGAGCGGATCAAGCCCAAGGAACAGCTGACACTGGGTACGTATTGCATCTCCATTCGCTCTCCTGATTCATACCGCCCCCTTTCTCAGACATACATCAACTACATATATATATATATACTGACATATTCCGTGTTTGATTTTCCAGAACCTTTCGAGCGAGACCACTGCATCGTGGCCGGCATCTACCAACACACTGCACAGTAAATCCCATCTCGTATGCTGCGAGGGTGGAGCCAAGGGAGCGAGCAAAGCAAGCAATGGATTTAATGTAACAAACGATGCCCTAATGTCCAAGGAACCAAGAAAAAGAAAAACCCTGCGCATGACAAACAAGCTGTTGTGCTTTTTTGTCTTTGTTGTGTGTAGAAAAACTGTCCCATTGACCTCGACTTTACAAATGGGCACTGATGTTCGTGGAGACTGAGAGAGGATGCTCTTGCTCTTGCTCCAGCTTGACCATCACGGGACGGACCAAAATCTTTGGCTGGCACGGCACGAGGAGCCATCAAGATCAGAATCAACCCGAGCGCGAGCACAAGCAAACAGAGCGGCGCCAGTCTGATTTCAAAGAGCGAATCTGTGCTGCACTGATACTGTGGCTGCACAGCGCATGCACGCACACCTAACTCCCCAAAAAACCCCGAACAAAAGAAAAAAACGGAACGAGGGCGTTTGTTTGTTTGGATCGAGAACCTCAGGTACCTGACTTGGTCACCTCTGGTCTGACAGGATCAGTCGGTGTAAAGGAGTATGGCATGGCGTGCGTGGTATGACATGGGAGGAAGGATCAGGACAAGGATAGTTAGGTACCTGCCAAGTAGTAAATAGGTAAGGTAGCTGCTCTCGTTTATGGCAATTCAATGCAATCAATCAATAAAATTCAAAAAGTTATGGTCCCAGTCAATCAGTTAGTCAAGTCAGAGAGCGTGCGTGGCGTAGAAGAACAGGACAGAAGAGAAGAAAACAAGACCATTTCTTTGCTCTCATTATTATTACTTTTCTGGGTCATGACGAGGCGTGCGAGGGAGACTGGCAGGTTGGCTGGGGGACAGCATCATCGTCATGTTCCGGGACTTGTAAATACTACATACTCTCTCTGTATGGCCTCTCCTTCTCCCATCCTGTCTATTTCCATCGTCTTGGAGGTTCTCACGCCTTGCCTGTACCCTGGCCATAGCAGCTGTAGCAAGCTACTCGCCTTTCCTATCTCGATTGAACCGCGACTGGATGGAGAGAGGCATTGACTTCATATACCACCTAGGCAAGTAGGTAGTCCGCCAGCTCGAACCGCCCTCATTTTCCCCATCAACCATGCGGCTCTGCCCCCAGCTGATGGCTGATGGCTGATTGTCTGATACTTTTTTTGGCGCCTGGTTTCTTGCATCTCACATTGAGAGCCTTTGCCCGTCATTGCTAATTGCATACAAGGGCTACTGTACATGCATGCCATGGCAAGTGCAGATGGTAGGACACTCGTGGATGGTCCAATTCTCACGATATCTGCCCCCAGCCAGCATGATCCAAACTCCTCTTTCTCTGCGTCCAGGGTGCTGGCCCACATAGGACTCAGTCGCCCAGCTTGCGCCCTCTTCATGCAGAATGAGGAGATTGTTCCTCGGCCAATAGCGTGTTGAATCGACAAGACCGTGCACAGTGCTTTTCGGCCTTCAGCTCAAACCACAGGGCTAAGTACATGCAGCGCTAGCAAGAGAAAGAGTGATATGTAGGCGCTTTGCAAGAACTCTCTCGGCTGTGATGAATGCAGTTCCGCAAGAAACAACGCAGGCGCTCTGCCTGGGATTTCTCCCCAGGTGTCTTCGTTGGGAGGTAATTGGTTCTGACGTTCAAGCGAGATGAAAGACATGATACTTGCCAACATAACACTCTAATACCTGCAACCAGGCACGATCCGAGGCTCATACCCTGACGAAAGCTACAGCAAGCATGGTTAGCAAACTTTCAACTCCTTATATCGAACAGGGTTGGGTGGGGGAAGCCATGACTTACTAGCATCTATCTGCGAGACTTGCGGCAAAGCCAACCTCACTTTATTCCTATACACCGCGGGCCCCTGCAATTGCAAGGGATTCATCTCAAAGTATACCGTCTCCAGATGCTCCTTGTCCCGCAGCTCCTGCTCGACCTCTCGGAAATCGCTCAGTTGGTTTGAACTCGCCCAGAACTCTTCTAGTTCCGTGAGGTGAGAGATGTTTTCGAGGTGGGAGATTTGGTTATTGGAGATGTCCAAGACACGGAGCTTTTTGTTGTTCGATAGGGCGTCGGCGGGGATGGAAGAAATGGCGTTGTGCGAGACGTAGAGTTCCTCCAGATTCGTCAGATCAGAGAGACCGCCTAATGATGTGAGGCGGTTGGATTTCAGGTCCAACAGACGGAGATTCCGCAGAGGCGAGAGATTTCTGATTTCGGTAATCTTGTTCTTGCCCAGCCAGAGTTCCCGTAACTGGGTCAAGCTGTCGAGGTTTTCAATCTCACGCAGGCGATTCGCACCCAGCTCGATCATGGTCAGGTTCGAGAGACCGTCCAGATTCTCAATCTTGGAAATGCGGTTCTGCACAAAGTACAACTCGGTAAGCGCGTGGAGGTGGTTGACGTGTTTGATGTGCTTGATCTTATTGAAAGACAGGTCCAGCGACTTGAGACACTTCAGGTCTTCGAGCCCTTTGAGGTGCGAGATGAGATTGTCATAAAGATCCAACTCTTCAAGTACCTCCCCCAAGGCCTCGGGGAGAAGGATAGAGGTAATGGCATTCTGCCGCAGGCACAGTCTTTTCAGTTTTGTGAAGCGCTCGAGTTTTAGAGCAGGTAGGGAAGAGATGCGGCAGTGCACCAGGTCGAGGTCCTCGGAATCGAGCGGCCATTCGTCCAACAGATCCTCGTCGGCTTCAATTTGTTCGACAGGAGGGGCATCGGGGTCTGAGTAGTCTGGGTCGGACAGGATTTCGGGGTTGGTCAAGACGGCGTTGCGAGCCGGCATGCGCAATTTACCATCCCAGCCATTGCTGCTGACGAGAGGCCCCGAAGCATGAGACTGGTGTGTAGTGGACTCGGGAGGTGGAAGTTCGATGTGGGCGTGTTTGTCTTCGTCGTTGCCCTCCACTTCAGGTTGCGGGTTATTTGGAGGGGTAGATTGCTGATCCTGGGCTCGTTCCGCCATGACGATATGCAAATGCTATTTGGGACAGTAGGAAGGGGAACGCAAGAGAAGTCGATGCTGCGCTGCAGAACTAGAAGCGACTGAGAGTATAGCCAGTGAAACAGGCAGAGAGTCAAGGGTGCCTGGCAAAATATGTCTGTGGTCTGGCCTGAAGTGAAGATTGGCCACGCGCTTCAAAATTGGAGATCGTCATACCATTTTGTACACAATGTTACGGACTGAGTGAACCGTGCAGTACAGATTGCTAAATACCAGTCTTGAACCAATTTTTCAGAACAGGTTCATCAAATTCCGGAATACGACTTGCGGTACGAGTGATTTCACTCTAAGATCGAGAATACCAGGCCAATCAGTTCCGGCGAGAATACTGCTTGCGGGCTTTCAGACGGAAAGGGGACATAGATGCGGACCAACATGCTACAGGCAAAGCAGAAAAGTCATTGTGCTGCTTCTTCCCAGGCTCATGTCTGCCCGAGGAGGGAAAACATATTGCTCTTCTATCACATACAAAGCAAGTCCTGGTGCTGAACGAATCTCTCCCCCTTCTCCATGCACGAATGGGATGTTATACAAAGCAGATACCAGTGACCCATTGCTTTTATCTCTCCGTCTGGACACCGCCCATAAGCCGCTGTTCTAATACATTTATGAGAATCGCTTTGTGACCTTGGCAATGACTGTAGGTAGACACAATTAGCATTGAGTTTTCTCGCAGGGAAGTGAGTCCAGAGGTGTTGAAGCGACTTACGGTGCAACGCCACGACACTGAAAATAAAGCCCAAGCTCAAGAACATGACCACCATAGGATCAACCTTCAACCCGGGGCTCTCGTCGGTATATAATCTCAGCATTGTCCCTGAGGAACCACCCGCGCCTGCGGCACGTGTCGAGGTTGGTCTGGCATTCTTGACTGATTCCTTGTGATCGGCAGCTGCACGACGACGGATCGCAGATCGAGGGCCGCCTGGAGGGGAGCCGGCGCGCGCGATAGAAGAGGATCCGCTGGCTTTCTGTGCGGATGTGGTGGACTCGGGACCAGACTCAGGGCCGGAGGTCATGGGAGATGCTGGTCTTGCTGAAGCCTGAAACTTTCGTCAGTCATTCGCGTTGCGATATGCAGGCTGTGCAGAGCAGATCGCTGCACGAGGTTTGACCTCAGTCCATGAAGAAGGGCAAGCAGATCTTCATACCATAGTTGTGCGGCGTATGATACCTCCAGGGGGTTAGGGAGGAAAATGTGAGGAGCCGGTGCGTTCCTACCCACCACAGGCGCGAGAAGAAGAGATATTCAAGGATAAAGGAGGTCGAAGTGAGAGAAGGATCCAATTGAAGTTGCGGAACTCGTGGAAAAGGAAACTGGGTGGTGTAGAAGGTGGCTGCGACTTGGTAACGAATTGGTTGTGGACACTTTTCCGAAACCGACGCCGTAGAAATTCTGGGGAAATTCAAATGACACAAGCAGCGCAGCTGGTCTCCGTCCACTGGTTCTTGGCACTCCAAGAAGGGTAAAAACTGCTCCGACCTCACGTGCGACTGGGCCGTGCCACTTTTAAAAAAAAGCACCCACCATCTCTCTCTCCCTCTCAAAAAAAGAGAAAAAAAAAAAAACCAAAAATGAACGGCGCAATCCAGGGTTCGAACCTGGGGCCTCTCGCATTTAACTCAGGGTAGTCCCTAAGCGAGAATCATACCACTAGACCAATTGCGCTGTTAATCACCGTAAACAAGTGCGATGGTAAACCGACCGCATTTGTTGAGAGAAATATTGAATGTATAATCTATATACCTTGGTATTAATGAAGCAATAAAGTGTGGAATGGCAGATACGCTAACTACCTAGTAGTGTCGGACATTGCCCTTGTATGCGAGATTACGAGAACGCATCTCGGCGTTCAGCTGTAGGTTTACAGGTACACAGCCTCTGTTAAGGGCTAACTGTCCCTCATCTCAGCGTTTATTAGGAGCGCATATTTAATAGTACCTCGTACTTGCACCATAGATACCGTGGATAGATATCCATATGAACAGTGAACCAGAAGGGCTCAACAATTGTCGTCAATTACTCTCTTCATTCTCTTCCAACTAAGGTTTACAATGCACCAACATACCATTGCCAAATAATGCTCAACTCATCTTTTTCTATTCATATACCCTGCTGGTAGATGCGATGCACACTCGAAGGGTACTAGAAATACCTGTGAGGCACGATACCCGGTCAACTGACATGCTCGCCACTCTCCTACACTCTCCTTCCAACCGTGTCTCGTCGACGAGGTTTAGGCCCAGGGGTTGAATCCCACTCCCCACCCTCAGCATACTAGTTGCTAACCAGAGAATTGAACAGCTGACAGTGAATATCACAGGCCGATGCAGTCCTATGCCATTTATATATTGTGTTTGTTTGTTTCCCGCGTAGCCCCCCAAGCAAGTCGCGCTCAAACACTTCCGTGTCTGGCAGTTTGTGCCTCTCTCCTCTTGACCTTTGATCGCCATGTTTCCTACAAGCTTCCTCCAGGCCATCCTCCACGGCTTGATCTTATCTCCCACACAAACCTCTGATTTACAAACAAACAAGATGCTGGCGACACCTTCTCTTCAACTGGCTACCTCTCTTGGCGCGATCTTGAACTCCGCAGCGGCGACTGCGACACCCACACCCACACCCTCGTCCCGTGGCTTATTGGTGGACGCAGCGCCCAGAACGCCTCAGCCGTACGTGCTGCCGAATCTGCAGGGCCACGCCGTGGATTTCGGGGGCTTAATTATCCGAACTCTGGTCCCAAACACCACATCGTCGGGTGCATTTTCACTTGTTGGCGTCAACTCAGGCCCAGCCCCTCTCAACCTCATCCATTATCACAAAGAGATTGAAGCTTTTTACACCCTCAAGGGGAGTGTACAGGTCTTTCATAATACTGACACCGGCCGTGAGCTGCGTGCCAATGATTTCGTGTTCCTGGCCCCGGGTAACAACCATACATATCGTCCCAATGATCTCGACTTCCAACTCACGCTGGGAATGGCTCCCGGGGGAATTGACCAGTTCTTCGCCGCCGCCGGTAATCCTTATAACTCACGCGCCCCGTTTGACCCCCAAGATGCCTCGCAGCTCAACGTGACCAAAGTTCTGGGGCTGATGCCTCAGTATAACATTGTCCCCGAACCTCTGAATACCATCAACCTCGATTGGACAAATGGAACTACAGCAGATGGCTTGGACACCTGGCATAACGCCGAACAATCTTTGCCAGAGGATCCCACGCAAGCCTACTTCATCTCCAGCAACCGCGGGCCCAAATACCTTCATCGGAGTTCAGGCCAGGTTATCGCTCAACTCGCATCTGGCAAGCAGACCGGTAACAAGCTCAGCGTCGCCAGTATAGCCATCAAGCCCCACAAGAAGCAGTCTCGCCTCCAATTCGCCGTTGACCAGGCATTCCAAGTCACAGAAGGTCAACTCCACCTTCAGATTGGTGGTGAGGAAGCACAGTTGATCTTTGGTGACCTTGCTTTCATCCCAAAGGGCACGCCTTTCAGCTACTGGTCGACCGTGGGGTTCACCAAAATGGTCACCTGGGCAGCGGGCTCAGGGCTCGCCGACAGTCTGATTTCGGAGGCGAAGGCGTGGGCGCATGGAGTTTGGCCCGCGTAAGGCAGAAGGGTACTGGTCAGCCCTGTAACGACGACAAAGGCGCATTAGCAGGGCGGGATTGGATTGTTCTAATTGTATGTAACATTTGAGATGGCATTTGAGATGGCGAATCTATTCTGTAAGAATGAATAGAAAGGGAACGGTTGTCACGTGGTGATATAGGCCGGGTTTGGACTAGCCTAATATATCAACACCACCATCCTTTTTTGTTCTACTTAAAGTTATGGACTCTTCCTCATTCTTATTCAACCACTACGACAGAGGGTAGCTCGTGCGAACAGGTCTTAGGGGATTATTGAGCGGCAGTACTAAGCATTCTCTGATCGACATGTCGCCCGACATGTTGACAAGAGCACTTTTACTGACCTGAACGATCCGCCGTCATATCGATTACGGTTCGTTCGAGTATCCATCTAGGAAGCCGACCTTGAGGCAGTAAAGATCATTCTTGAGCAGCGACTCTCGCCCGGCCTCGAGCAAGCGGCCAAGGTCTTGTCGACAGTCAATGTATAGGCCGCGAAGATCTTTGGCTTTACCCGTGGAGATGTATGCGCATGTGTGAGCGCAAAGTTCCGGTTTGTCCTTGAAGAGGGCTTGAAAGGCCGGTCGAGATCTGTCAAGTCGGGGATACTTGGCCACAACATCCGGGTCGCTGTTAGCTGGAGAAGTCGTCTGTCAAAGATACGTCCTTCTATGTGCAGGGTTCGGAAGGTCTTACATCCCCCCATGGTGGTTTTGACGCCACCAGGATGCAGAGCGTAGGTGTGGACAACCTCGCCCAGGCCGTCAATTTCCAGCTCCGCTTGTAAGCTAGCGATGGCGCGAACAAGACCAGTCTTGTCGGCAGCATACCCTATCCCAAAGGGAACGTCCACAGTCGCTGCTCGAGATGCGATGGATATAACGACACCGCTCTTGCGAGCACACGTGCCTGGAAGGACTTGCCACGCACAGATCAACGGTTGAGAGTTCAAGAGTCCCCCCTGCAGGATGTTTGTAGACACAAAGGGGCGGGGGTCGAACAGCTTTGAGATTAACCTCCACCAATCCCCAGAAGTCTTCAAACTTTTGCATCGGTATAGGCCGGGTTTGGCTCTTACCAGCTTTATTCATGAGAATGCTAACGTAGTCCACATTGAGTGCTCTGATTGCATTTAAGAACATACAAATATCTATCGTCCAAAGTACTTGAGCTCCAGATACCTCGCAGGGGTATAGACGACGGCGGTGACGACAAAGGCAAACTCATTGGCTACGTCGCCGCCGAAATCACCAATCAATTTGCCCAGAGGGCCCGTGTACCAGGTCTCGACCATACCCATGCACCAGGCGACGACGCCGAGGCCGAATGCAGCGAACGCGGCGATGCCGTGGGGCAGTCTGGCTGGGTCGTTCCAGGCGTCGAGGTCGTAGTTTGCAAAGTTGCGGCGGCGGAAGAAGACGTGCTCGGAGAAGAGGATGACAAAGTACGAGGTGCACCAGTAACCGAGAAGAGAGAGGAAGTTGACCAGGTACGTATTAAGTTTCTCACGGCCGCCGAGGGCGAGGCCCAGGATGGCGGCGAAGCACAGAAACGTCCAGATGAAGCGGGGAATCCGGGCAAGGGGCCGAGCAAACTGTTGGCACGAAATAGCCGCTGAGTAGATGGAGATGACGTTGGTGTTGATCCCCGACAGCACGAGGAGCACGAGCAGGAACTTGGCGAAGCCGCGCGGATGCAGCATGTCCTGGATCAAGAAGCCAAGTCCCTGGTTCTCGTACGCGTCCTGCCAGGTGGGTTTGTTGTTGAGCGCCGACGCCACCACGGAGCCCGCGACCATGCCGATCGACGTCGGAATGCTGATGCCAAACATGGTCATCAAGAAGACCTTGACCCGCGACACGGTGGCTGGGTAGTGCACATAGTAGTCGGACGCCATGGTACACCACGAAGCCGAGGAGCCATAGACGATAGCGACAAGTGAGAGGGCGGTGCCCGACAGGGTAGCGCCGTGCAGGGACGACGGGGTCGTGTTGTCGGCGTGTTTGCCCGTCTCCCCGAAGATGATCATGAAGATGACGAAGAAGATGAGCCAGGCGTAGCGCTCATACACTAAAATGGCATTGAGGCCGACAAAGGAGATGGCGAGCGCCACAATGGCCAAAATGACGATTCCCACGGCAAGGGAGACATGCCCGTCGGCCACGGCGTTGAGAGCCAATCCACCCGTGATGCACGACACGGCAGCCCAGCCGATTTGTTGAACGGTATTGAGGGCCGCGATGATCTTGTTCGGGTACCATCCGAAGCTATACCGCGAGACGGAGATCTGTCTCAGGCCCGTCGCGGCGCCGAATGTCGCGCAGTAGCCAGTCACAGCCCCTCCCAGGATGGACGATAAGATGTAGATGGGGATAGATTGTTTGAGACTCAAGCCAAACTCCCAACCCAAGAACCCGGTGGCGAAGCAAGACGTGTTCATGGTGCCACTGGCCCAGAGAAGAGCCATGGTGAGCTGCTCATGCCAGGGCACGGGCTTCTTGTCTTCGGGTCGTTTACGATCGATGGCCTCGCTTTCGACTCCCAGTTTCTCGTCCATGCGAGCTTCCAGCCGGCGCAGCTTGGAGAGGATACCATTGTCTTGGTGGACTGGGGTATTGTTGTATAGCTGAGGAGAATCCTCCGAGGACGGGCCAGAAAGGGTCTCGAAGCCCTTTTCACCGTCAAAGGCTTTGGAGGTCATCATCGCCGTTGTAGGCGGGAAGCCTTTCTCCTCGTCAATCGTCATTTTGTGCTGGACCTGTGTGGTGTCTTGAAGATGGCGATGAAGGAAGGCGAGGAAGACAACCACGGCGGCCGAGGTGTCGCGTGAGATTGCGCGGGGTGAGAGAGAGTCCCATGGAGGTGGCGCCCTGCAGTCGTATTTATCTTGTCATGCCGCTGCTCGTGTCACCAATGCCACGTTGGTGGGCTCTTTAGGCGGGGTGTTTGTGGCCGCATCCGCCTGCCCATTCCTGCTAATCCCTTGGTATATCAGTTCCAGAATCCCTTCGATTCGACGGTTGGAAAACTCTGAAGATAGCACCGGCTTCTGTCATTGGAGGGGAGAGGATATCTGGGTGATCCTTCCGGGTTGACAGCCCTGAATGGGCAAGGTAACATTCGGCAATGGGTTCATGGACATGGGGTCGTGGGTTTAGGGCGTGAGATGGAGTCGCCATTGTAGGTAGGATGGTTCCGGGCCAGAGGCTAGAGTGGCTGGATCGGCGGGTCACGGTGGGATGATAAGCATTTTGCTTGTGTGGAAGCCCCGAAAGCTTGGTATGAGATCTGCTTCCTGGTGGGATTGATCTCTCTAGTCTGGTACTGACTTGTCGGGATTAAGTCGACCGCCATTTGACTTGATCGATTCAAGTGAGATCTGCCTAAACATCCACGTCGCAGGACCTTCCGCAGTTGGTGACATCAGTGGCAACAATCATTGGTTATATCACCCTACAACTAAAATCTCGAGGGAGACAAGAGAACAACTTCCTCACTCCGACCTCCGAACCAGAATGGCCAGCTACAGCCAAACCCTACGAGCAAGCAGGAGACGATGAACCTTGATTCCCCAATCGCACAGGGCTGGCACCTGGAAGCATTGATCAATTGAAGAATCTGTCCCTGGAGTGGTGCGGGGCATCGATACCTTCAGATACACCAAACTCCCTCCTAGCCGAGGCACAATTCCCGGGGGCGGGGCAAAGTGCTAGGATCCGAAAGTACACACCAGCCTTGTACAATGGTACCCAAATGTTCATTGTGTGTCTTCTCGGCTACGACGCAGTTACTTGCGGTAAGCAGTCTACCGCAATGGGCGTCTATGTTCCCCCATCAGCCTTAGATACAACCGCCTAGGGAAGTATGCCTCTGCCTCACGAAAACAGGTCTAGGACACCTACAGTTCCAAGCACGCTTCGTGACCCCAGGATATCCCCACAGAAACTTGGGCGCTTCAAGCAGTGGGGAAGACCAGTGTGATAGTCAAGTGCGAGGATGAGAGGGAACTATTGGCCAAGGCGAGCGGAAATGAAGTTCTGTACATGTATGAGAGCAAGGCTTCAGTGCTGGGTCTCGGTGTGTGACAACCTCGTATAAATCTATCCACGACATCAATCCCTCTCCTCCCTTGCAAACAATATGCAAGCTGGTAGCATGCCATATTCAATTTCATCCCAACACTCTACGTCGTAGGTCACAACTCCCCACTGAAAAAGTGTCATCTCCACCCAACACTTGGAATGCCCGTCCTCGGAGAACCAATTCCAGCAGCAGCACTCGACATGGGTATTTATCTTTATATCTCAGTCTCCTCCAAGGGCGGCCTTGGCCATACCTGAGAGAGACACCAAATGAACTATCGTGACTCGTAAACCATATCTACAAGCCAAATCCAAGGGATATCCATCATCGCCGTCGTCAATTGTTAAACATCTACCATGTCGTATTTATTGGGGCCCGACGCCAACGACGCAGCCGGCAAGGACGAGATTACCTTTGACATACCCAAAGAGTGCAAGGCGGGAGTCGTGGTGAATGAAGGCCCTAATTTCCACATCGAGGTACAGATGGTGCCCGTTCCAGAACCAGGTGAGACGGGCATTTGATATTCCCCCTCATCGCGAGATGGTATTCCTGTTGCTGGTGTCCGCCGTGGCTCTAAAACGGATCCTCATCTTCTAGGTGCCGACGAAGTCCTGATAAAACTCAACGTGACCGGCATCTGCTTCTCAGATCTCCATTTCGCCATGGGCGACCTGGGCCCGCCCATGTCCGCGTTCGGCGTGCGATCTCCGGGCCACGAGGGCGCCGGCGTCGTCGTCAAAGTCGGCTCCAACGTCAAGAACTGGAAGGTCGGTGATCGGGCGGGCATGAAGCCACGATGGTCCGTCTGTGGAGACTGCGACCTCTGTCTGGACGACAAGGAGGCGTACTGCCGCAAATCGCAGCTCTGTGGTCTTCATAAAACAGGGCAAGTTTTTAGTGCCCCTTGTTCTTGCTAGGCAACTTGCGTCGCAGTCTCAATGCTGATTTCTCACTGTATAGGACATATCAACAGTACTTTCTGCTCTCGAAGCCCGCTGTAGCCTTTGAGACCTGCTGATCTATTTCCACAGCTATGTCACGTCCCCAGCGCACTACACGCAGAGAATTCCCGACGGCGTGGACGACTACGCAGCGGCCCCCATAATGTGCTCTGCGGGAACCATGTATCGCGCCCTACGTCTCGCGACACTCAAGCCGAACAATTGGGCCGTCTTCCTCGGCGGAGGCGGCGGCGTGGGCATTCAAGGCGTGCAGCTAGCCGCGGCGATGGGGCTTCGACCGATCGTGGTGGACACGGGAGATGAGAAAGAGAAGCTCGCCATCTCTCGGGGTGCAAAGGCCTTTATCGACTTCAAGCGCGTTGACGATCCGGTGGCGGAGGCAGTCCAGATCGCAGACGGGATCGGAGCACATGGAGTGTTTGTCACGGCGGGCAATTCCTATCCATCCGCCATCTCGTACGCGGGCACACGCGTCGGTGCTGTGGTATCGTGTATCGGACTCCGTAAGTCATCTCTCTTCCTCCCCATTTCGAAGCTCTCCTTTAGCACTCCCCCTCTCTCCTCTCCTTTCACAGTAGAAAAGACTAAACAGGGGACATGAACAGCGCACAACAAAGAGCTTACCATCGGAGCACCACCTACCAAATTCATCACTCAGGGACTGACCGTGCGCGGTTCAATGGTGGGGAGTAGAGCCGACATCGCCACGACACTTCAATACGCCGCAGCTGGAAAGATCTCTGGTGACCACACAATCTATCCGATTGACAGACTCCCAGAGGCGGTGGAGAGGATCAGAAGAGGTGAAGCGGCTGGAAGAGGCGTGGTGGATTTCAACCTCTAGTCAAAATGCCCAAAAAGGCAGGTGTCGATATACGAGGCATGCAATAATGGGTTGAAGCTTCTCAGTCGGGGTCCATGTCCGAAATGCTTTCTATACGCCAAAAATGCACGGCGAATGTTCTCCGACCAATTGACCATACCATAATACCGAGTATGCTTTACCAGCTCACAACCACCGGTGATGATGAAGGAGCAGAAACCAAACTTGACAATGGACATGTTCACCTTCATTGAAAATGATTTGATTTTTGCTGCTCTTCTTCTTCTAACCCCATCACCGACGCTGCTAAAGCGCTCGCTCGATCTCGATCAACGATTCCGGCAAGGGTTACACCGTGCTGCCGCCCTTGTAGTTAATGTTGCACAAGACGTATCCCCCGTGCCTCGCGAGTACTGACCTAGTGACACATGTCAAAAAGAGGGGGGGAAAAAGGACTCCAAAATGTATCCGAAATATCAACAAGCCCTCCTACATACCCAATCATTGATTTGTATTAGCACGATTCTGTTTGGGGGGATCCAGTATTCACCCCGGCCAGGACACGACACCCATCTAGCCTCTACGAGTAGAGCTATCCGATCCCAGCCCCGTGTGGTCAGCAAATATGCGGTCTTGAGTGACGAGCTCGGTAGGTAAGTAGGCGAATCATTGCTCCGTACAGGACCCAATCACTTTGGTAGGGGAAAAAAAGGGTCATACTGTTTAGTTAGCTGAACCATGCCGGAGGTAGCACTGCATGGATGGACAAGTCAGCGTCCGCCGTCAAGTGGTATCAGCTCCCTTCTCGTATTCATGCATGTGGTTAGCCAGCCGGTCAGTCAGCCAGTCAGCCAGCCACCCCCGCAGCGCACCGCAGCATGTGAACAATGAACAATGAACAGGGGCGTGTGCGAGGATGCTGACCGGGAGACGTTTATTCCCAGACAGACAGGGTGAGGTTGTCAGGCGCAGGACGAGGACCAACTTATAAGATAAACCGAGATTATTGTCGCGTGCTCGATTTCCCCTGGGATTCAAAGAAACCACACTTTGTCCCTTTATCTCAGCAATCGCATCTTAACAGTTCCAATTCCCTCGGAACGAAAATGGTAGGGTACCTTACCTTCAACCAGATAAATCCACGCACCGTCTAACAAAGAGGCTAACCAACTCAGCCTCACGACTCCCCAACCCTCTACCTGATCCGCCACGGCGAGAAGCCCCCAAAGGAGGACGACGGGGACGACAGCCCGGGACTCTCTGCGCAGGGAATCGACCGCGCCGAGGGTCTCGTCCAGGTGTTTGGGCGGAGCAGCAAGTATGACATCGGGTACGTGATCGCGCAGAGACCCAAGTCAGGTATGTCCATATCCGTGCATCAGCCCTCGGAGCGTTGGTAGTCGAGGGCGCCTCGCACTCCCCTCCCCTAGGTGTGGAGGAAGGGGGGGAATTCGAGGGCCTTCTGTTCGGTCTCTCCAAGGCTCAGGCCAAGGCCAAGGTGCAGGGTGCACAGCAAAAAATGATAACGCATCCGGCACGACCAGACAACAGACAAACCCGCCCATTCCTGACCGTACAACCGCTCGTCGAATCTCTCCAGGAATACAACGTGCCGTTCAACTCCCTGATTGACCGGGACCACGTCGACAAGGTTGCCGAGGCCGTGCACGACTACGCCAAAGGCAAGGGCAAGTACGTCGGCGAGGGCAACGTCCTGATCTGCTGGGAACACGACGCGCTGGAGAAGATCGCAAAGGCGCTCGGCGTCGACGACGTGCCCGAGTATCCCGGGAACAGGTACCTCATTCACCGTTCACTTAGTCACTCAGCGATCGTTCTGTAAAAAAAGGACTTTGGTTGACGGAGATGAACTAACACAGATTCGATCTCATCTGGACAATCAAGCCCCCTTACAAAAAGATTGATAGCATCACGTCGGAAAATGTCCCGGGCCTGGATGATCACTCGGCAACCCCGGCATGAGCAGGCAGAGCAGGCACCGACTCAACGGTTTGGGTGAGGGATATATGAAAGTGTGGACTGATCTAGTCAGTGAACCCGTATGCAGAGAGACAGCCCCTGTTTGATTGGGTCCAAGACTGCGCGAATATAATTGAGTTTATCCAAGCATGGCTGGCAAGAAAGGGGCATCGAGTATAGACAAGTATCCCCTCCCGATGATCACGTGACTCACAGCCTTGTCACGGTACATTGTAATGTGGTCCCATCCAACACAAGACACCATATAAACACATCGTATATACACCTCGTCACGTCCAAATCCCCATCAAGAACTCAACCACATCCTTGTGGCCACGTTCAAAGGCCAAGTCAAGCGTAGTAAGGCCCTGCTGATCGCAAGGCGCCTCCAGGTCGACCCCACGACTGTTCATGATCTTCAGAACGTCAAGGCATCCGTTCTTCGCTGCCCATGATAGAACCGTCCTGCCCGAAGGAAGAGTTTGAGTACAGTCTACCCCTTCTTCAATCAGCAACGACACCATGGCTGAGTCAGTGTTATCTGTTGCCAATCCTAAAAGTCGGGCGCTGATGTCAGGATCTGAAAGAGCAGCAGGCTGGTGTCGCAAAAGCAGCCGAGTTGTCTCGACATGGCCATTGTTCACTGCTTTCATCAAAGCACTCTCGCCCGTTTTGGACCGAATTTGCAGATCGGCGCCCTTCTCTAGCAAGAGCTCCAGAATCGCGGTTTGGCCGTACGCCGCTGCCCACCAGACGGCGGTGCGACCATTCTGATCCTGAATGTTTACATTGACTCGGTATTCCAGTAAGACCCTCACGAGACTCTCATACCCGTACTCGCAGGCGAAGGACAGTGGAGTTCTCCCTGAATAAACTTGACAATCGGCATCGGCTCCATGTTGTAAGAGACAAGTCGCAACTGTTTCGTTCCCGTTCATGACGGCCAACAAAAGCGGTGTCCTCCCACTGCGGTCTACACGATTCAATTGCGATACTTCGCAAAGGACCGCAACTGCATTCGTCAGGCCTTTCTTGACCGCAAGTGACAGCGATGTGTAGCCGTCCGCGTCCTCCATGTCGGGATCAGCGCCGTGGAGAAGTAGCAGTTTGATCAAATCAATGTCGTCGTTAGCTGCGGCCACAAGAAGCGCTATCTGCTGTTTGCGGTCCTTTAAATTAGGATCCGCACCCCTTTCGAGGAGAAGCTGGGCGCCAACGAGATAACCGGTAGACACCGCCCATAAGACGAGGCTCCTACCGTCAGTATCGGTTACGTTGGGGTTGGCTCCAGAGGTGAGGAGGTGCTTTGCAGCGTCTATCTGCCGATGCATGATAGCCCACCAGAGTGCCGTTTGCCCCAGGGAGTTCCGGTGCTCCTTGTCCACGTCACTCAGCAACTCCAACACAGCACTATTGCCCCCCTTCGCTGCCCAAAATAATACCGAACACCTTAAAGTATCTTGGGCTTTGAGGAATGCACCCTTTTCGATCAGCAGCTCGACGACAGGATCATGCCCATTCTCAGCGGCCCACATCAAGGGTGTCTTCCCCTTTTGGTCACTCAAATTTGGGTCGGCATTTCTTTCGATAAGGACGCGGACGGCGTCTATATATCCACCTGCTGCTGCGAAAGATAAAGGGGTGCGGCGTTCAGTGTCCGCAAGATTCGGATCGGCACCCAGCGCAATGAGAGACTTCATCATAACGACAAGTCCCAGCTGGGCGGTGGCAATGAGAGGTGTTGTCCCCCTGGAGCCCCTACCATTGGGGTCACAATTCTTCTTCTCAAGCAGTACTCCGACGACCCCTTGAGAATTTCTTGAAAGAGCATAGGCGATAGGGGTTTCGCCGGTAAAGTCTGTGAATTTTTGCGCATTGATCCCAGCATGGGCAAATTTCAGAGCGACTGAGAAGTTTCTCCAATTCAGAGCCTGCAAGAACGCTAGCGCTCGTCGGTTGTCGTCGTGGGCAAATTGGTCAAGTTTCAATATGAGATCGATGATGTCGTGAAAGTCGCGATTGGTCGCCCATCGCAACAAGGACTCATCTTCAGATAACTTCTTGCTTGGTTGTGCACCCGCTTCAAGTAGTCTCCGGCAGATTCTGCGCGCCTTTTCCCGAACGAAATGCCCAATGATAAAGTAGAGCGGTGACCTTGCCTGGTTGTCTTGTATATTGGGGTTTGCGCCATTAGATAGAAGGAAACCGACCGTCGCTTCGTCAAGGTTCTCTGAGGCCCAAAATAATGCTGTGCGGCCCGTCTCATCTTGTAAGTTAGTATTTGCTCCATGCTGGATTAAGATCTCCGCGACGCCCAAGTGGCCATAGTTTGTAGCCCACCACAGAGATGAATGTCGTTCGGAATCAAAAGTGTCAACCTCTGCCCCGTGACGCAGGAAACATTTGGTCGCCTCGACATGTCCATTTCTTGCCGCCCAGATCAGAGGAGTGCATTCTTGAGCGTCCCTATCGTCAACATTTTCCAATGGGTTATTTTCAAGCACAGCATCTATGACATGGCTGAGGTCATAATATCCAGCAACGTGGAGCAAATGTGCCCCGGATTGAAGAACACAAGCACGAGAGTCCAGATAGCACAGTGAAAGCCATTGATCCAAGCGAGTCCGAGAAGGCCATTGGAGGTATGTTAAAAGGTCTCTCTGTAACCGTCCATCCAGGTCCGCCTTTTTCAGGTGAGAGGGCCATCTAGCAACAGAATACTGAATGAGGGGATACTGTCTCGCTGGAGACTGCCCTTCATCAACTGGAAACTGTAGTATTTCATCCGTTAGAATGTAATGCATGCAGCATTTGAATATGAGCTCATGAGCCTTCGCCAACGTTTCTTCAAGCCTAGAACTCGATTGATCTTCGCTGATGGAATGCTCCAGGTCCTGGAGGCCTCGCTGCAAGAGGTAGTCCTTTACTGACTGGTGAATGCACTGGATGATGTTGTCCCCGTTGACAATCTCGACAAGGCCACCGGATAACGCTTTTATCAATATTTCCATTTGCCCGTCGGTCTCGGTGAATGTGTCTAAATTCTCCCACGATGCAATAGTCGTTGGCGGATCCAGTGGGTCGAAGGCCAGGGCATACCTCATCTGGATCGGGAAAAGAGGTTCCTCAGTCAGACACACCCATTCGAAGAGACGCATTGCACCGACTCTGTCCTCGGCTGGTATCTTCGACAAGGCCTCCTTGTATATCTGACCAAGCTCTGGAGAGCTATTCTGGATTTCTTTGCGAATCTTTTCCAGACCATAGCCATGACGCCCCTTGCGGGTTGTTTGTTCGAGGATGAGAGCCGTCCACAAAAAGTTTCCCGCAGCCTTGCGCAAAATTTCGTGCTCGACATCTCGCCGCGAATTTTGGTTCTTGAAGACGTGTGAAAGACGGCTATGAACGAATCTGGAAATGTCACCAGAATTTTGAGCTTCGACGCAGATTTCTGGAGCACCAAAGAGATCCATTACGGGATAGTGACGGCAGGTTATGCACACACTGATTGCTGACTGAGCCTCTTCGGTCGGCGTCGTGAGGCTCCAGAGTTCTGATGAGAGCTTCCTTGCCGTTTCTTCGCCGCATTCGTCCAAGGCATCTATGAAGATTTTGATAGATTGTCTGGTGTACTGTTTCACTCGAGTATTGAGGAAGTCGAACAAGCCCTTTTCGTGCCATGTCCAAGAGTGCCCGTATTCACCCTGATTTAGCTGCTTCAACACGAACGTGTTTGTTAGCTCTCTTAATAGGATCTTCGCTCTTGATAGTATTTGATGCAGGATGGACCGATACAGTCCGACAGGAGACTTTTGCATCTGTGTGCCGCGGCCATGCACGAAAAATGAAGCCACAATGACCTTTTCGTCTCTCTGGCTCTCGACCTTGCTTACCAGCGTGTCGAGGAGAACACTCTTGCCTGCACCAGGCAGGCCAGTTATCCAAAGAAACCCTTTATTGTTTGCGGCCCATTGCTGATAGTCCGGATGTTCTATCAGCCAGGAACAGGTCCCCTCGGCCGCACGATCGATGTTGTCTCGACGACCGCCCATTTCCCTAAACCATAGCGACTTCAGACACGCTGTTTGCGTCTCTTAGCGTGTTACAATCTTTGGAGGTGGAAAACTTACCAGATTCGGCAGCAGCTGAATGGTATCTAGGTGTCCCTGAAGAGGTGGTTTCGAAAATTGATCCTGGGCCTTCCTGAAAAGAGTCATCTTGATCGTATCGAGCACTGAATCCCTCGCTGTCATCAGGAGTCCTGTCAGTCAGGACTCTTCGGAAGGACGGCACAGGGCGGATAGTCCACAAAAGCTCTTTCGCATAAGCCGCCGCGGTCGCAGCTGCGTACTCCTGCCACCGCTTGTTTTTGTGCGAGTCCGAGTAGTCGCAAATGCCTCGAACAACTAAGCAGTCAAAATAATTCATTAAGCCAGCCGCTTCCATCTCAAAGCAAAGAACATCGAGTTCTGCACTGAGACGGTCCCGCATGATCGAGTCTCGAATAACCTGGCTACCGGATGCAATAAGCCCATAGTGTATGACTGGATGGTTTCCTGCACGGGGTGGTCGATTGACGAGTCTGCCGCGGTCGCAAGCCTCACAGAGTGCGTGGTTTGAGATTTGATGGGCGTAAGAAGACTCGAACAGTTCATCTTTGTGAGTGGCTGGATAATTGCAAGCATTCGCTCGGCGTGGATTTCTCCAGACGACGTCCTGTAGGATGGCACCAATTTGAGACCCTCCTTGGCTGAGATGCTGGGCCTCTAGGGTTGAAACAGCATTTAACAATACATCAGGAGGACGATTGAGTGAACCGGTTCGGACAAAGTGACCTTGATGGAGGGTTTTCCCAAAGTCGTATTGAACCACGCCGCCAAATTGTCCGGTAGGACGGCTCACGACAACATCGCCTAGTCGAATGTCATGGTGTGTCGAGGGAACACCACCACCAACTCCCACGAGCAGGATGAATTTAAGTGAGGGAAAAGTGGCCCGCATGGGAATGGCAACAGAGGCTGCCGCCACGGGACCGATAACCCCTTGAGGTAGACATGCAATGACTACATTGTGGGGACCAATTCGGCCCAACACATAGTTATTGGTGTCATAGCTTGCTTGTTGAAGATTGCCATGCCTCTCGTCGAGCATGTCTAGAGCCGCAGCTTCTTCCAATGGTAGAGCAGAGATCCACCCAACATGATAGTCTGACGCTAACATTCTGCAGAATATGGCCAAACAGTCACCGGAATCGATCAGAAAAGGGTTGCTGATACATAGGAGGGGCTCGGGACTTCATCAGCCTGACACGATATCGCCGATGTGGCTATCTTGTTTGCCGAATTGACGCCAGGAACGAAGCATTATCCAATGCTGCACTGGTGACTGTCCTGCGACTAGTGCACAAGATGCATATTGGATCAAGGGTGCCGCCGTTTCGATCGCATCTCGTCATCACGGCGTAATTAAGGGTGCAAGATGGGAAAAGTGGTGAGGCTGTTAGCGACGTGCTTGTCTCTAAGCGCCGTGCTAGGCAGCCTGCTAGGTTGAATGAGGCTGTGCAAACACTTGAAAGATACCAAGCCTTATCACGTGAAGCACGTGCTTGCAGTGCCTCCAATTCACACCGAGCTAAGCAAAACTTGTCTCGCTTCATGTTGCACAGGTACGAGGGTACTGGTCCTGCTGTTCGTCAACTCCATCCTCAGAACACACTGGCCAACTCTCGCCTCTCGGACTAACATGGCCCGGCAGACGGTTGAGGCCGCCGGGACAATAGTGGGGGATATACCCAAAGAGGAAATCTTGCGGCGGTTACGCCCTGGAAAAGGGCCGACGTCAGCGGGGATTGGAGTAACCTGAGAAATAATGTGGACGGGGAGCGGTACATGGTGAGTTATTGCGTCCCCAATTCTTTGACTCGACGGATTGAGCGTGTTTGACAGAACGTCTCGAGTATATAATCTGGCAGTACTTGCGTCGCTTGTGTCGTACTTGTGAAGAACTCGAAGCACTCGAGCACGTCTCAATTGCAGCGCTCTCTCCCATACTCAGCATTGAAATATTTCCAGATAAGATAATGTCGACCTCTAACGGTCATGTTGACGCGACCGTCACCGTCACGATTGGCAAAGAATCCTCTGAACTCCAGCCCACAAAATCCAACATTGGCGTGTTTACGAACCCGAAACATGACCTCTGGGTAGCCGAAACGTCGCCAACTCTTGCAGAAGTCAAAGATGGAAAAGACCTAAGAGAAGGAGAAGTCTACATCGGCATCAAGAGTACAGGGATCTGCGGCTCAGACGTACACTTCTGGCATGCAGGTTGTATAGGTCCTATGATTGTCACGGACGACCATATCCTGGGCCACGAATCTGCAGGCATAATATTATCCGTCCATCCCAGCGTCACAAATTTGAAGCCAGGCGACAGAGTGGCCATAGAACCGAATGTTCCGTGTTTCAAATGCGAGCCGTGCTTAACAGGAAGATACAATGGGTGTGAGAGTGTTGAGTTTCTTTCCACGCCGCCCGTTGATGGGTTGTTGAGGCGATACGTCAAACACCCTGCGGTGTGGTGTCACAAGATCGGTAACATGAGTTACGAGAACGGAAGTCTATTAGAGCCTCTCTCTGTAGCATTGGCAGGAATGGAACGCGCCGGTGTCAGACTTGGAGATCCCGTGCTGGTATGTGGTGCTGGTCCAATTGGCCTGGTTACACTGTTATGCTGCGCAGCTGCTGGTGCATGTCCCCTCCTGATTACGGACATTGATGAGGGACGGTTGAAGTTTGCGAAATCCCTCGTTCCACGAGTCACCACGTTTCAAGTCCCCAAGGGCGCGTCTGCGGAGGAATGTGCTAATCAAATCGTCTCGGCAATGGGTGGTATTCGACCTCGCGTCGCAATGGAATGCACGGGTGTCGAATCGAGCGTCAACTCGGCCATCTGGTCGGTCAAGTTCGGTGGCAAAGTCTTTGTGATTGGCGTGGGCAAGAACGAGATGACGATTCCCTTTATGAGGCTGTCCACGCAAGAGATCGACCTTCAATATCAGTACCGGTACAGTAACACGTGGCCGAAAGCGATCAGGCTGGTGGAGAGCGGTGTGATTTCTCTGGAGAAGCTGGTCACGCATCGGTTCAACATGAGCGATGCGGTGGCTGCTTTCCAAACGGCGAGTGATCCAAAGAGCGGAGCCATCAAGGTCCAGATCAAGAACGACGACAGCTTATGATGTGGCGTCTCTGAGTAAGGCGGAGCATCTGGGGGATTGCATGGGGGGGCCATCGTGGGACGCATCTAAGCATGTCATGTTTCCGGGATTGAATAGCTGGTAGATGGCGACGAGTTCTGATTGATCGAGCACACATTTCTCCGTGATAAGATTATAGCGCAGGAGCATTTATTCCAGTCTTCACTCAACGAGCGCTGTTGTATTCTATATACTGTAGACGCTGTATGGTCCCTGGTTCGCAATCTCTTACTTTCACCAATAAACCCATTTCCCCCCTTAAACCCCCCCCCCTTTTCGCGCGCTCGCTGATACTACTTCTGAATGATGAACTTGAGCTCCTCTCCCTTGATGAAACTCTCGACGGCGCGACAATGGTAGTCGTACCAACTATGCATGGTCTCCTCCTCGACGTAGCCCATGTGGGGGCTGAGGAGGACGCGACTCCGGCCGTCGCGGCCCCAGTAGTTGGGCCTCCGCCAGGGCGAGTCCTTGGGGAGGGGCTCGACCTCGAAGACGTCGAGGGCGACGCCGCGGACGGAGCCGGCCTCGAGGGCGGCGAGCAGGGCAGGCTCGTCGATCAGGGGCCCGCGCGACGTGTTGACCACAAAGGCCGACTTCTTCATGGCGGCGAGGTCGGCGGCGCCGACGATCCCGCGGCTGCGCTCCGACAGCACGTAGTGCACGCTCAGCACGTCGGCCTGCTCAAACAGCTCCTTCTTCGACCCGGCCACCCGGAAACTGCCCTTGGGCAGGCCGCGCGACTGCGCCGCCTCGTCGGCCTTCTCCTGCGTCAGCGACGTCGACCACGCCAGCACCTTCATCCCGAAGCCCAGCGTGCCCGTCACGGCGCATTGCGTGCCCAGCCGGCCGAGACCGAGGAGACCGAGCGTCTTGCCCGCCAGCCCGGCCGTCAGATGCGTCTGCCAACCGCCGGACGCGGCGTTGGGGTCTGACGCCGAAGAATTCGAGCCTTGGACCAGCGTGTCGCCGTGCACGAGATCCTTTGCAAACCCCAGGATCAACGCCCAGGTGACCTCGTTGGTGGCGTCATATCCCTGGACGGCGTTGGGCTTCCCCATCGTGCCGGCGACGGTGATGCCCAGGTCCTTGCACGCGGCCAGGTCGATGGCCGCGTTCTTCATGCCCGTGGTGAGCAGCAGCTTCAGGTTCGGCAGCTTCTCGAGCACCGAGCGCGGGAACAGCGTCCGCTCGCGCATGCTCGAGATGATGGTGTACGGCTGCAGCCGCTCCACGAGCTTGGTGTGCTCCTCCGGGATGCGCGCGTTGAGCGTGGTCGGGAACGTGTCGATCTGCACCTGGCCTTGCAACGACTGGAAGTGCGGGAGGGAGATGGAAGCATAGTCGTCGAGGATGGCGAGTTTGATTGGAGTGGAGGAAGACATGATTGATGATATTGAAGATGTCGACACTTGCCGCGATCCTATCCCTGGCACTACTGCTGATGCTGCTGCTGCTGCTGCTGCTGCTGCTCGAGTATTCGGACGGGACTGCGCGAGGATGTTGGCCGTAGAAGTCAATCGGTGGACCGCTCTGCTCATGAAACTCATATATGTACCGAGTATGTGTAGATGAATTAGGACGAACAGACAGGCGACTCGGCAAACTCCACTTTCTCTCTCTGTCTCGCTTTCACTCTCGTTCAAATAAACAACCAAGCGAGAAAAGATGGGCAATCTCCAACAAGCTTTCTTATATGATCCGGGTTACTTGCGTAGGATGTATGGCCTGTCTGGACCCGGGGTGAGGTCGGCCATTCCCCGCCTGAGGAGAGGGAAATCAGATGCCGATGTCGGTCGGCTTCCGTACCTCATTCATCAAAAGCCTTGCGTGATTACAAGGGACCCAAAGGACAAATGCCGTGAGTGGTCCAGTGGGTGGTGAGCAGTTTGGAGAAATCGCACATGTACTTCTTTCGATTGGCTAAGGGGGAAAAGAAGGGTTGAAAGCTGGATCAGAGGTTGGAGAGGGATTGTATGGTGATGTATGGATATCAGGATATCAGGGGCTTGAACTGTACAACGGCTAGCTAGTAGAGCAAGCATTTCGCTTTGACAACTCTCGCTCGACATCATCTCCCCCAAACAGTCCAAGCTTCAAATGTAGCCATCCTCATCTCTTACCCACATAGGTCAACGCCGCCACAACCAACGCATCAATCCCCACCGTCAATGTCGGCTGCACCACCGGCGCGAAGAAGGGGCTGTGGTTGACGGGGATCTTCTTCTCCTCGCCCTTCTTGACCATCTCGTCATACACGGCCGCGTCGTGCCCACCAAAGAACCAGAAGCAATACGGCTTCCCGATGCTGGAACCCAGGATCCCAAAGTCTTCACTCCCCAGCACGTTCTTGAGGTTGGGATCGTGGTTCTTCTCGCCAAAGTACGCGGTGAAGGATTTGTTGATCTCACCTACAACCTCGGCGTCGTTGACGGTCAGGGGGAACGACGAGGTCGGCTCGATCAGGGGCTCCTTGGGGCAATCGCCCGCGAGACACTCGGCCTTGATGATCCTCTTGACCGAGTCCAGGATCTTTTGGCGCCACTCGACGCTCACGCTGCGGATGTTGATCTTCAGCACGGCCTCGTCCGAGATGACGTTCTCCGTGCTGCCGGCCTGCAGGGCGCCCACCGTGACCACGGCCGTCTCGTCGGGAGGGACTTCCCGTGACCGAATCGTCTGTAAACGCACGACGATGTGCGAGGCAATGACCACAGGATCAATCGTGACATGCGGCATGCTGCCATGCCCGCCACTGCCGTAGATTGTCACCTTGAAACTGTCCGCTGCAGACATGACTGGTCCCGCTCGCGTGGCTGTCTTTCCCGCCTGGAGAGGAAACACGTGTTGGCCGAGGACAACGTCGGGAATGGGACAGGCATGTTTGTCGGCAGCGTAGAGACCGTCATCCACCATGGCGCGGGCACCGCTCCCTCTCTCTTCAGCGGGCTGGAACAGAAAGACTATAGTGCCTGACCATGTCGAGCGGGCGGCAATGAGTGTCTCTGCCGCGGCCAGTAGCGACGTGATGTGGAAGTCGTGTCCGCAGGCGTGCATCACGGGCTTGACGAGTCCGTCCGTGTCGCGCATCGTCTTGCTACTGGCGTAGGGTAGCCCCGTCTTCTCCTGGATCGGAAGAGCATCAATGTCAGCCCGCAGGAGGATGGTCTTTCCAGGTCCATTTTTCAAGATGGCGACCTGGCCATGCCCGCCTATCCCCGTGCGTATGTCAAGGTCGTTTGAGAGTTTCCTCAGATGCGAAGTGATCAACGAAGCTGTTTCTTTCTCCTGCATCGAGAGTTCTCCATTGGCATGGCAATGTTTGTAGAGCTCTTCGTACGGCGTCAGATTAGGGCGGTATTTCTCAATGACGGCAGCGAAGGAGGATTTCTCAATAGCTGATTCACCCATGATTGATCCTGTTTGAGGGTGGTAATAAGGTCGGTTGGTCTAGTGATGACCGTAATGGTGAGTTTTATAGAGCAAACCAATTCAATATCACAACCCATAAGAACGCATCATGGCAAACTTGGAGGCACGCACCCAGGGCGCCTCATTAGGCATGATTTATAGCATCAATTCTCCGCACTATCGTCGATCAAAGGAGAAGTCCGCCAGTTGCTCACGGCGTGCCAGCCTCGGTAGCTGCAACATTTGGCAAACCTCCATTCTATGTATACAAGGCGACAGTTGCTTCGAATTGCCTCAATGCCACCCCCGTCTGTCGTGGCCCTCCAGATCCCCTACCCAAAGTCCTCATATAACATATGGGCATCAATACCTCATCACTCGCCCATCAATATTCACGAAGCCCCCTCTTCAGCCTCAATTGCTCGAATAGTCTTTGTCCTGACTCTCTGTGTGCCACGAACGCTTCTCACAACCCGGCTCTTGACACTAGATGCCTTCTCTCGCAGGCTTGATGATCGGCTGACGGGTGCTGAAGTGGTCTTTTTCGGGCTTGTCTTCGCAATCAGGGCTGTTGAAGAGGATGTCGACACAACCCTCGACTTCACAGACTTGCTCTTAGCACTTGCAACAAGGGTCTTGAGTTTGGAGGGGCGTCTGGAGAGTCCTCCCACGACAGTCGCACTCGTCTTTCGCGTCACAGCTTTCTTAATGAGCTTCACCTTTCGCACCTTGACCGGGCTGCTGGACTGTGAACGACCTGACACCTTCCGTGCCGGTGCCGCAGCAACCTTTGCCTTTTTCGCAATGCGACTGGTGCCCTCCTCTATAGCCTCCGCGATCTTTCGTTTTGCACCTGCCAATTTGCTGCGGCCTTTGCTGGTTTCCTTCTCGGGGCTTTTGGGTTTCCGCTCCTCCTTGGATCTTGGTCCCAATACTCCGCGACACTTTTGAGATCCGCATCGGCATTCTTGAACATTCTTCTGAGAATAAGGATCGAAGTTGTAGTCGTAAGTGAGTTCCTCTCCAGTCATGACACCTCGGTCGCCTGCAAAGAGCGCCATTCGAGGCTTACCGTTGACCGTCCATTTTTCCATCCTGCAATTCGGCTCGCACGAATGGTTGACAAATCGTGCAATGGATCCTCGAGTGGCATCAATGATCATGTTCTGGTCAAAGAGCATCAAGTAATAGCACTGTCCTGAGTTAGTGGGATACACAAGATTCTCCAGTGCTCGCCTCACCTCGTTGTTCTTGTACATCGTCTTCATGCGCCGCTCGCATTCCTCCTGAGTGATGATCTCTCCCGTATATTCCACGATGATTTGATGTGGTTCGAACGTGCGATTGCTTCGCACGCCATATCCCCTGTCCTCGGTCTTGATTACCTCCACACCGATATTGTACTTTCCCCCCTTCTTGACGCGACGCTGGAGACTTTCAAAGGCACGGTTCCCACAGTCCTCTGCCTTTAGGTTGCAGTTCCTGGGATCACACTCATAGTACATATATCGATTTATGCAGTCTTGGTCACATCCCGTCTCAGGCTTGCACACACAGCTCGAATGCTCCTCATACTTCGACACTCGCCACGTTTGTGCCGCATCGCCGACAACGACGTTTTTATTGACCTTTCTCCACTCGTCGGGCTTCGGCTGACCAGCAGGAACGGGAGAAAATATGTCAAAAGGGAGTTTGAAGTCTCGGCCATAGTTCAACAGACGCTCGCCGCCAAACATTGGCAGAGGTAGGACCGAGTTTTCCTTGACAGATTCCGAAGGTGCCGCACTCTTGCGCCTGCTCTTGCTTGAAGCAGGACGCATCTCGGCAAACCTAGACTGACCGGCGTAGAGGCCCGAGGTAAGCCATTTTTTCTCCCGTCGACGGACGGGCGCTCTAGGTTGGGCAAGCTCTTGAACAGGGATATCACCCTCGCTGATGCGCCTCTTCTTCGAGACCGGTTCTGAAGCAGTCGGTTCCACGCCTCCTAGGCTTTTTGATCGCGCTGCGTTGCGCGCGTCTGACGCCCTATCCTTCCTCTTCCCAAGCACGCTATTAGCGATACTCGATATGACCTCTCCCGCTTTATCCAGAATCGGCATTCTGGACGATCTTCTTGTCGCGAGTTTCTGAGCGGCCTGACGACGTTCCTCCCATATCTTGTTGTTCTCGGCCATTTTGACCTTCTTCGCGGCCGCCTTCTCTGCTCGTAGACGTTGGTCCTCGGCATCCTCCGCCGCAGTTTCTGTTGATTCTCTGGGTTGGTATGCCTTACCGTCCTTCTCCCTCGATAGACCCTCCTTGCCATGCTTCGTAAAGACTTCGTTCACACTCCACGGCAAGTCCAACGCGGCAATACTTTCCTTGACCAACGTTGACTGGCTCGCATTTTCCAAGTTAACCAAAGTTTCACCACTGACGGTCCTCCCTTTGAGATCCTCATCTTCTGTGTCTCCCACGAGACCAGTGTGGCTTTGTGTCTTGGCCAGTCTGGAACTGACGCGTCGAACCCGGCCTTTCGGCACTTGTTTCATAGTCGCGACCTGGGCATCTTGAAGGGACACGTCAAAGGAGCTCTCGGACGGCGTAGGGAGTTGTTGCTGTCTGGAGGGTCTTGAAGTGAGTACCATGCTTTCTGGGTCATTGTCAGAGGTTGTAGAGCTTGTGGAACGAGATAGGGGCGGCCGAGTGTTTGAGGACTCGATAACTTCAGTGTTCACATTCTGAGCTCGCGTCCGGTAGAAGCTAAGAAAGGTCTGACGGAAATGCATCTTGTAATCATGGGCTAGGCCGGCGGCAAGGTGAAGCAGAGTTGACGCGTCAACCCTTTCCAATCGAACCGTGTTGGTAAAGACTGTACAGTTTCTTGGATGAAGGAGTACAAAATGAGAGATACGCGTGCACAGAGGGAAGAGTTCGAGGGAGAAGTTCGAGGGGTGTAACAAACAAGAGGAGGCTGGACTCGGAACTAAATAGAGGGATAGCAGATTGGCAAGCCAATCTACCGTATCAATCGCCTAGGGGAGCAGGGGGACGAGACTCGACTTCTGGGCCAATCGCGGCCCTGCGACCAGCAGAGCGACCCGGAAGCATAACAACAACATTCCACAGCCACACAGCCTACACAACTCCTAGTACGAGTATGCACCTCCGAGTAGCACTACTGGTCTGAATTGACTCCTTGATTGCCACATCTAGCTTTGAGTTGGCTTCGCTTGCAAAACATGTTTTGGTTCCATCTTCCCAGCCTGATATACATTCTGCGCCCTGGCAACAGCAAGGTCCCAATTATCAACTATTATACACGCCCTCATTTGGTTTCTTTCTTTGACAAATTCCTCCCTGCGGGCCCTTCAAAGGTCTTTTGCGAGCCCAGTACCGGTTTCATCTCCATTTCGCCATTCTGCACCCCATGGGCTTGCCGGTCTGCCCTGCGCACGCCAAATCGCTGATCGCCTTCTTCATATCGCTTTTTGAAATGGAGATAAGTTGGAGGTTTGGGTCGCGCCAATACGGAGATCCAATTTTTAATTAAATTTCCTTGTGTGAAAGGTCGATGTCTCTCGGCCTTGGGGAATCTTCGAGATGCGAGATATTCTCTCGTAGTCTCGCCTTTGCCGACCAGTAGTAGGTGGTACATCCACAATGCGAATGGATAAGCGAATCCCAACAATCCATATATAAACATGGCAAAAGGGACACGATTTCGGTCTATGGCTGTTCCGAAAGAAACGTGTCTCTGGTTTCGATAGGCAATCACATGGCCCAAGGACGCAAAGGCCAAATACAGGCCCAAAAAGGTCGCTGTGCTGACGAAGGTGAAAAAGTACCGATAGTTGCGTCGGCCCACGCAATTATTGAGCCAGACGCAGTGGTGGTCCAGGGTTTCGACACAATTATCGCAGACTCGGCAATGATAACATCGCGGCGGGCGCCAAATGTTGCAGGTCTTGCAATACTTAACTGGCACATCCATCGCTGCTGTTTGCGAGGTAGCCAGTCGTACCATGACCCAATCATTAGTGGGAGGTCCAAGAGCCAAGGGGTCTTGGTGATCGTCCGGGGGGAATGGATGGATATTTCGAGGAAAGACCTAATTACTGTTAGCCGGTAAGTTTGAAAGAGACAGTACGGCTGTATCCTTACCCCCGGATCAACAAGTGAGGCATGAAGAAAAGAAGATAAACAAATGAAAAAGAGATAAGCAAATATTATAGGAATGGCGGGGGAGACATGATGCCACAACCACGAAGCCCTATGCGCTGGTCAGCTCTGTTGCCACCACCACGACGGAGATCGATCCACTCACGAATAAACGAAGAACAAGATCGCTGGCAGAACTAAGAGTATGCCCGTGGCGATATTGATGGGACGATCTCGAGCGTTTTGAACACGCCCTCCCAGCCAAAAGATCGTATTACCCTCAAAATACTCATAATTCTTGCCTAGGGCACTCTTTACCGCGACCTCGGTATTAGTATCCGGTGGATATGCGGGAGATGTGGCATTCGAGGACAGATGCAGGTGTCCCGATTCCAAGCGGTGCTTGCTTGCTAGGCTCAATCCTGACCGGAAAGACAGCGGTGACTTCAGAGGCGGATCACCAGCCTTGAGAGTGGTCGCGATATTTAACCGAGATGGCCGACGCGGTTTCTGAGAGTTGACACCATTGACGAGCTGCGTGTCGCCGTCATTCTGAGAAGCAAAATCGGGAGATGCGGCATCGGCAGTATCTGGCGCTTCTGATTGGGTATATTCCGTCGTGATGGAGGGAGCAGGACGATGGCTCCTAGGCATCGCATGGAACGGGCCTTGTCTGCTCGACGCAACACTTCGAGCATCTTCATCAACGTCACCATCTGGAATTGGCGCCGGCGGTTGCATTGCTCTAGCGCCGAGAGGCCTCCTCAATCTTTGTGCTTGTAATCTTTGGGAGCTCATTGGCTTGAAGAAGCCTTGCGCCGTTAACGAGGGAACATGGGTGCGACTCCCCTGAGAGACAGGGCTCTGCGGCCGACTCGAGCCAGCGGTACTGGAGGGCGCGGCAGGAGTGGCCGGTGAGGGATTGCTCCTTATCGAGCGGTTTGTAGGTTGCGTGATACCTCTTAGATGCGCGTAACCATGTTGTGAGGAGGGGGGGTTGGGCAGCGCAGGAAGAGGGACACCTGACTGGGGTCTGGATCCGTACCCATCTTCAGAGATGGCAGAGGAGATTTCGCTTCGAGCGGTTGAGGGTCTGACAGCCATGGTCTCCTAAGAAACAAAAATCGCGTCACGAAAGTAATGTAGGGTGCATATCGAAAGTGTATGACAGGAGCAGGGAAGCACAGGGGTGACGTTGAGTCGCGGGGAGACGTGGAATCTGGTTCACAGCGTCAAGATCGTAATAAGTCGCACGGGAGAAAGGCCTACTTTCTACCATCGACTATGTGCGGAGTTTCAGGGTTCTTGGAATGAGCGGATCGGCCATGGCGGTGCTGATGAGAGTGAAGGTGATGCGTACAAAGGGCCAGGCGATTGAAAGTGAGGCTGCTTGCTGCGAGGCACGAAGAACGAGAAAGCAAGAAACCGGATGCGCATTTCCGAAATTCGAATTCAGGGCTCAGGGGAAAGAAAGACGAGAGTTGATGACACAATCTCGTGGCGGAGTCACGTGAATAGTCACATGTAGCACTAGTCCAAATGTGGCTCAGTCAATCAGACTGCGGAAGTTCAAGGTTGAACCTCGTGCCTCATCTGCAACTCACACCACTGACAAGCTCCCAATTCTCAACATTGAGCTACATCCACCACTCCTCTCTCAACCCCCTTGAAAATGGCTTTCGTGGCAACATTGGCTCGTCGGGCAGCTGCAAAAGCTGGTGAGGCCGGAAAAGACACAGTATTGAAGAAGGGTGCCCGCCGGGATCCTGAGCTTTATGTACGGTTACCGCACACTCCGTGTCTTCTGGTACGAGCTGCTCATAACAAGGACTAGATTCTCCTAGGTGTCATGTCGGGTGCCTTTGGCCTCGCAGGATTCTACTTCGGTCGCAAGCCTACATCCGCCACCTCAGAAGCCGAAGTCTCGGTTGCTCAGAGCTCCATGCCGTGGCAGGTGGATCATGACCATGACGACCACTCCAAGCACTTCAAATATCAATATCATCCTAAGGGCGACAAGAACCAGACCCCCAGAAACGCCCCCAGCGCCTTGAATACGGTTATCGTGCCCAACGTGACTCTACCCAAGGTGCGTCGCATCCTTACCAACTGCGAATTGGTCTAACATGTTGCTTTAGGCCGTCCACGATGCATTCAACAAATGGGGAAAAGAAAACTACTAAGGAGTGGTCCTTGGCCCATCGCCCATTGGTGTGTCTTGGAGTTTGCAAAATAGAAAAACAAACAGGTGACGAGGTCATCTATAGGATGCCGCTCAACAGTGTACATATTTTCAGGGAATGAAGCAGATCATCCATCATCATTGTTCGGGAAATTCTAAGCTTTGCGCAATCGCCAAAACTGTGTCTCATGCGGCATGCAAGAGCATATAACAATCTTATGTCCCTGACCGGAGAGGCCCGCTTTACATTCTGCTTCACTAGGTCGATTCGTGGTTGGGGATTTCATTTCCTTGTTGCAGTGAGGTATACGCGGATCTCCTCCATCCAAGCGCTTTGATAACTGCGGCTCCCTTCCACTTTATGACCATCTGATCGGCCCTGACATTTTCTGCAGTCCCGCTACACCTGCTTGTTCATTGCAACGGCCATACCCTTTCTGACAACCACTGGACCACGAATAGTTCTCGCACACTGTCGAGACTAGAAAGTCCTACAATTTCCAGTCGGACAGGCATGCTAAAGTCCCGCCATTCCTTCTGACTATAGCTCATACGGCGGTCGCAGATTTCAATTAGCAGAGCTCAGTGTGCACTGGCTTCAAAGTATGAGTTCCATCTTCTCGATATTTGAAACCTTCTCGTAGCTGACTACAACCACATTCGATTTTTGTTGAGATTCTGATGACCCTTGACAGGCTTTGACATGACTCACGGTCTTCCATATGCCACTACTAGTGAATTCACGCTAATAGGCAGGCCACGCGCTAGAAAGACATCTGACGAATTCACTGGTGAAGAAGAGGAAAACCAAGAAGAATACTAAGAAGAATACGGATTTATTCACAAAGGTATACGACCGTTTCAAGCGATACCATGCCCAAGATGAAGAGGCTTCCGAGGAATGATACGCAGTTGGAAGGCGAATGATATCAACACCACCCTGCCTACTTAGTTAGGATTTGGGAACGGCTGGCAGGAATTCTCCCAGCAAGGACCGTCCAGCAGCAACCACCAAAAGCAAACGACCACATACAAATGCACACCAAAAGAAAAGGTAACCATTGCGATGTTTTTCAACAAATCCTCTACCAAAACCCTCACCCAGCCTCCAAGGTTTTTTTTTCAACCCTTCACATGAACGAATACACTACGCGCAACAATAGAGAGAGTCATTTAATCACCCTCTCAGAGAATCCATCAGGGCAAGGGAGCGCTTTGATCGCGGATCAGCGTCGGATGTCGAGCAGTCCTATGCCACGAGTACACGCGCAAAAAGCTGCAGGTTGTCCTTTTCTTCGACATTTGCTGCTAGTGATTTGATTCGGGCGATTGAGCTGGGATAGAGCCTGCATATGTTACTAGAAAACTGAAAAAAATCAATTGATGAGCCGAAAAGCCAAGTAGGAGCAGTAAGTGAAAACAGTCAGACGGCGTTGAGATACTCTATGTATTTCTTCCAGAACAATACATTTCTAGTAATATTCTCTGTTTAACACTATGACGCCACGTCATACCACGGTAGCTTTTGGACAAATTATGCCTCCGCTCGACGGTACAGCAATGGAACGTTTGTCGGTGTTGACCGCAGAGGACTCCTCTTGTCCTGGTACCCTTTTTCCATCTGTGACTGGGTAATGGGAGATGCCGGTCTATGGTATCCTAACACTCAAGATCGACTGTTCGTCAACTCGCTCTGAGCGGTCGCGGTAGGTCCACTAGCAACTGGGCGTTGTTTCCCGGTGATCTTTTTCTCTCCCGCTGTAATATCGTGAAGTGTGTCATGATTGATAGGTTCATTGGCGTGCTTCTGAGCTCGAGCAGTTGGGCCGTCCCGTACCGGGTTTTCGGAACCGGTAATATCTTTCTCAGCCGCAGTAATCTTGGAGATTGTGTTGCTGTCAAGTGTCCCGCTAGCGGGTTGTTCAGAAGAGACGGCGGGAGAGGTTTCATTGCGTTCCTGGGCCAGAATGCTTTGAGCTGTGGCGGTGGGACCGCCTTTGATCCGCTCACCACCAGTAATCCTCTTTTCACCCTCAGTGATATCATGCAAGGTTTGGGAGTTGATGGTCTCGCCAGCACGGGATTGAGCTTTGGCGGTAGGACCACCCTTGACTGCGGTGTCAGCGCCAGTAATCTCTTTCTCGGCCTCCGTGATGCGGGAGATGGTTTCTGAATTGAGGACTGGATTAGACATCTTGAGTGCCGTGGTGTGCAAAAGCCGCCTTTGTCGGCTGTGAGTCGTAGATGGGCTCAGTGAGGTCTGGTGTGCCTTACAGAAGACGAATTTTGTAGACTGGTTGGTGAGTATCGGAATGGGAAAGGGTGCGAGGTGCGAGAAATATCTATAAGGCATAGTCATTGAGTGGCAATTTACTGACGAGGTTGGCCAGCACTTTCTACAAGAACAATCAAGCAGAAGGGGCATCCCTGCATTGCTCATATAAATAAACACACAACTGTTGTTCCCTTCGTGGTTTACCTGGACTTTGTCTCGATACTTTACACCCGGCTTGCAGACAGTCATGAATCTTCGAGTGCGTCATTAGCCTGCACGCATGAGTAGGTAGCCTCGAGAGAGTGAGACGTTGCAGGATTGAGATCCATGGGTTGCAATAATGATGATGGCGACGATGATGAACTCGATGTCATCGACAAGTTGGGATTCCAGCCAATTGGGGTCATGCATGATCTGGACGACCTGCCTTTCTGATTTGGAGCTTGGGTGGTGCCACCGAAAATTAACCGAGATACTAAATGTTTGTGCTGTCAATGTCAATACTCAGAAGATTATACAGAAAGCTCAAGAGTTCCCCGTCCGTCTGAAAGGCGAGATGAAGCTACTCAGATCAAGTAGACAGCACGATCTCGCTCTGCTGTCTTCCATACTCCGGATTTCAAACCCTGTCTGCGGCAGTTGTGCTCGTCTGCAAGGCCAACATGACACTCCTGCTTCATCAGGTCTATCCTCACGCCGCCGGTTCTCAGTACTCAACCGCCCTCCACCAAACTATCCAGGCCATGTCCCCCTTACCACCGTAGAGCGTGTTGGCCTAGCAATTGGAAGCGCAGTCACCTCGCTTGTTGATCCCTACAGACATGACATGGTCGCCGCACTGGGGGAAGCAACGGCCCAACCTTTCTTTATCTCATGGCTACGGAATCGCATGTTGTCGGATCCAACGGGAAGAAGAATACTACGGGATCGCCCTCGAATCACTTCCAAGACAATGTCTCTCGAAAGATTAAGACAACTGCCTGAAAACAGCGTGGGGAGAACATACGCTGCGTGGCTTGACCGGGAAGGTGTCACCCCAGATACGAGAGATGCGGTACGGTACATTGACGACGAAGAGGAGGCCTACGTCATGCAACGATACCGGGAATGTCACGATTTCTATCATGCTGTGACCGGACTGCCGGTCTGGGTTGAGGGAGAGCTTGGTTTGAAGGCGTTTGAGTTTGCAAACACTGGACTACCCATGACAGGACTCAGTCTGGCTGCAATTATCCGGCTAAAACCACTGGAGAGGCAGAGGATGTTCCAGATATTCCTGCCATGGGCGTTCTCAAATGGGTGGAAGAGCAAAGACCTCATCAACGTGTACTGGGAGGAGGAGCTTGAGACGGATGTTGGTGAACTGCGTCAGAGGCTCGGCATCGAGCAGCCACCTGACCTGCGTGCGATTCGGAAGAAACTGAGAGAGGAGCGCAGAGCTGCTAAGGCCTCTAGAGCACCCACAGGGGCAGCACCGACATCTCCTTCCCCTCCTCGACCAGAGGTGCCGTCATGATGCGTAAAGCAATGTTCGTCGCGGGGTATCATACAAATGTGTCAAAACAGTTTCCCCCTCTTGCAACTACACCTCCTTGAGGAGGTCATCCAAATCATCGTCGTCCCATCCACCTCTCCGAACCACCTTCACGCTCTCCATGGTGTGACCCGTTTGCTTCTCATGCTCAGAGAGACTGGCAAGCATCTCTTTTAATTGATCTTCAGTAACCTTTTGTCGTAGTTGACCTGACCGTGCGAGCATAATCAGCCTGTTCTCGACATCTGTGGCGCGTGACTCTTTGACCATGCGGATTCTCCCCAGTCGGTCCGCGGCTTCTGGTTCGAGGATCTGGGACAGCATGAGGGATCGGGCCTCCGATTCTTGTTTCCTATAACTATTTATCAGTGCTTTGTCATGGTACAATAGGCAAAGGTGAAAGTTCATCCTGACCTTCTTTTCTCTTCATCATCGCCGTTGTCACTTGACCCTCCTCTGCCTTGTTGTTGTTTGAGTTGTGCAAGACGCGCTGCTCTGATCTGTGCTTGTTAGCGAATCAATTGAATTGAACGACACCTCAGGTAGCATACCTGTGCTAAATCGTCGTCTGCCATCGTTGCAGGGCATGCAAACGCATGAATAGAAGAAAAAGACTTTCAGAAGAAAGTCGCAGAATGGCGAGCGGCGGGGCAGTATCTCCAGAGGGTTGCTAGAAGCGGCCTGCTCGTTAACTAACGAGCCATGCGAGCGTTTGTGGCGCCCACGCGCCACAAACACCCAAACCCGCCCAAATCCCTCCGCTTAATTATGACGCGGCACACCTACTCAGAGCTGTGGTGCTGTGCCATCCCGTTTCTGAACCCGGGCACTAACCGAGAGGGAGACGCCCATCTCATCATCTGGCCGGTAGCAACCCTCGAGGACCTTCCGGGAGTTAAATAGTTCGGCTCCTACGTCGTCCACGAGCCATCCGAAGATCCATCCCAGATCACCTCGCTCTGGTCCGATCTCGCCTTTGGCTTGAGACACCTACTTTTCAGGTGTTGTAACTTTTCATCCAGTTGAACCACCAGCCGCATATCGCGTCAGCTCGCCTGCGCTGTGCTTCCATTGTCGTGCAGCTTGCTCAACGCATCCAGCGGCACTCAGCATGCCTTACACGACAGTTGCATGAATCAGATCACTCTCATTTCTCTTCCATAAAAGGAATATGAATGCTTGGGCACATCATGGCGCCTTCTTAGGAGCTGGTTTGCCAACCCATTCGCGCTCGATATCGTTGGGGCCACCCATGAGCACACCACCCAAACACGTTTCCAAAGCGCAGTCCGCTTCTAGTCTGCGAACAATGGCAACTGTCGAATCTTCTCCTCCCGAGCCACCGCAACCCCAGGGGGCCTCCCCAGACAACTCCTTCCGGACCATTGCGGACCCGAGGCATGCAAATACGTCGAACCTCTCTAGGTCCAACTCAACCCCCTCAAAACATCCCGATGTCAACGCCGAAGTGGCCGCACTAAGTGACAAACTCATCAGTGCGATCAACCATCAAACTACCCTGGACGATACCCTTGCCCAGACGAGACAAGAGTTGGAAGCCTCAAGAGCACGCATCGCGAAGTTAGAGGCAGAGGCCAAAGCATATGAAGAAAAGATCTCGCGGGGAGATTTACTGCCAAAGGAAAAGGTCGATGAACAGAAAGATAAGCTTACAGCGGAGTTGGTTGAGGAGAAGAAACAAAGGGCGCAGGTCCTTCAAGAAAAGCGAGGAATTGAGTCGGAGCTGGAAACTCTGACAGCCTCATTATTCGATGAAGCGAACAAGATGGTGGCTACCGCTAACCGAGATCGGGATGCTATTGAGAAGAAGAATCAGCAGCTTCGCGATCAGATTAAGGACGGCGAGGCTTTGATAGCCTCTCAGACGGAGCAACTGGCGGAGTTGAAAACTCTGATGCAGCAGATCGGTCCAGCTTCAGACTACAGAAGGGAACTTGATTCTCCACGGGTGTCAATCGCACCTTCAAGCCCCGGCGTCACGAGAGAAGGTGGTGATCTTGCCCGCCTCCTTGAAGCAATGAACCTATCTCCTGTCACTCTCGAGCACGGAGAACTCGCTCCGAGCCCTTCTACAACTCTGACACACCTCGTCAAACCACTATGTCGGACAGATATTCCAGCGTACGAGGACTTCAGGAATCTAGTACAAACGTCCCATTTCCGGTCGCACAATCCTTCCCATGCCCCGTCCAGAGCAGGTTCTGGGTCCTATGGCGGGTTAAATGTGGTAGGTCTCGGTTCACTGAGTAATCACTCGCAACCAAATTTGTCACAGATCTCTCAGCCAGCAACGTCGAAACTGGCCAATTCTCCGAATATTCCAGGATCATTTAGTCCCAATCCAGATGCCAAAGGGCCTGTCCCGCTGAGAGAAACCCGCTTTTTCAAGCGTATCCTGGTCGAAGACATCGAGCCGACTCTTCGTCTTGACCTTTCACCGACCCTTTCTTGGTTAAATCGACGCAGCATTCTTGCCGCCATGGCCGATTCGACTCTGATTGTTGAGCCAATTCCCGAAGCATCCATCAAGCTCTACGGGAAATACACGCCTTGCGCGCTGTGTGGGGAGAATAGGAAACAAGGAGAAAACCCTCGAACCCACGCCATGCGTGTACGCGAGGGAGAAAGCGCTACCAGATGGTGCATTTGCACCCTATGCTTGGAAAAGGTGCGTGGCGTGGGTGATCTGGTCGCCTATGTACGCATGGTCCGGGAGGGAGTAGTCAAGGTTGGTGACAAGAAGGATGAAGAAGATGCGTGGGAAGAATTGGTGCGGCTAAGAGAGCGCTTGTTCTGGGCGAGAATGGCGGGAGGTGTGGTGCCTGCATTCATCCCTACACCAAAACAAACCCCAATAGACGATGCAAAAATGGACGCGGAACTAGAAGGCCACACCCCAGATGGAAATGAGGAGGACGGTACTTCACTACAACACGCAAGAACTATAGCAACGGATAGCTCTCAGCACTCAACACCGGGCACGGACGAAGTCGAGGCTGAATCTGCCGAGGAAAAGGCCGCACGCCTCCAACTTCAAGAAGGCTTGGACGAGAGTCTAACTACGTTTGACAACATCCGCGAAAACAAGCGAATAAGTATTGGCGGTCGACAACACTCGACGACACCGCCCTCGACACCCTCGCCGCCTAAGAGCCTCCCAAAGAGGGAGTCCAGTACTGGCGGAGGGATTTCATTCCCAAAGATTAATATTCCCAGGCTGCCGCAGGGGTTCTGGGAAGCCCAAGTGAACACCCTACATTAAGTGCACGGTGACACAAAACGAACTGAGGGAGGGATATCTGGATTGAGAGGCGGCGACAATGTACATTATAATTTGATACACAGCAAGAAAACCGACGAGCCGTTTATTTCTTGGGAAGCCCGGGGAACAAGAAGGTCACAACCGCGGTAATGTGAGGAGGATGGTGCCGATGCGGCCCAAGTCATTCATTCGCGGGAGACTAAGGGTCTTTGAGAAATGGAACCTGGCCGATGAGACCCTTTGTATATTAGACGTGTTGATATCTGGTGAGCTGGACAGGTATGGCGGAATCCTTGAGGTTCTAACGGTGACAAACGAAGAGGACAAGAGCTGGAAATGTCTTTAAAGCGCAGGTCGGGTTTGGGTTTTTTTGGACTGGTCGAAAATATATATATTAATTCTTTGGAACCAGTGAGTAACGAAGCGGAGGGGCATGCTGGAGTGAAGAAGCTTAAGTAACTCGTAAATAGGTAGAAAAGGTCCGTGGGTGATGGTGTGTTTGTCGAACCCCTCGAGGTCTCCATGGTTTCTTTTCTTGATGCCCTCTTATCTTGAATCTCGGTTCATCCTACTGGGACAGATTTGGGCTGGATCTAATAGCGGGTATTCTGTGTTTTACTCGTAGACTTGGTACAAAATAGGTAGATACTTCGGTACAACACTAACTGTTTTGGGTTCTTGACTAACCGCTTTTGGGCCAAAGTAAACTATGTTGCTAATACTCGCTGGCAGGTGTCTAGGCAAGGGCAAGCTAAGTATTGACGGGCCTGCCCTCTGTGTGTCCCAGTGATTGAGATGGACATCAGTAGCGGCGCACAGCATTTCCACGTTTGCGGGATTGTATTTTATGGTCTAGGTAAGTAGTCGCTTGACAGCTGGAATCATCAGGTATGGTACATTGTGGAGAGACAGGACAAGGGGATCAAGTGCTTGGGGGTTGTGCGTGTTCAAGACCGACTATAGTTTTTTATAAGATACAACATGACCTACGCATTAGGCGTCTTTGCTTCGGGATGAATCTTTCCTCAGCCCATAGTCCTTCCACGCCTCTGCGAATCCCACGCTTCTCGCCCACCTCTCACCGTATTCGGGTTGGACGCTGTCCAGCACCATCATAGCTAGTCGCCGCCACATGTCTCTTTTGATCTTCCATACGTCGTCGGGCGTGTTCTCTTGATTAGCTTCCAAGCCCACGCCGCTCGCGTGTCCGTTGACGTGTCCATTAATCTCGCTAGACGATGACTTGCGGATATCATTCTCAAAGGGAGCGCACACCCTCTCTCCATTCGCCAACGCGCGGATGAATTTCGCCGTGTGCCCGTCATCCATGAACGGACTCGCCACGCTGTATATTTCGTCCCAGCCAAGTACTTCCGTGCCGTCGGGGGGATAGTTCGCGATCTCATCGAGGAGGAGCTTCGGCGCCCTCCGCGACGCGTACAGCGCTAGATCGAGCCGGCCCTTCCACTCGACCAGCTTGGCCTTGATCTGTGGGGTGATCCAGTCCTGCGCGAGGAAGACGCTGAGGAAGATGCTCGAGTTGACGGCGTGCATGTAGAAGAAGTCCATCTTGACGACCTTGGGCGGGTTCTGCGCCGAGCCCGTCAGGTATGCGTCCGCGTTGATCACCTCGGCCGCGGCTCGTTCCAGGCGCTCCTGGCTGTAGGGAGGCGGGACCTGCCACTGCGCGGCGTAGGCG